GGCCTGGCTTTTAACAGTGGTAGCAGATGAATGCAGTTGTCGAGTTCTTCTTGGAGCCCTGGGAATCAGACCTGGGATCTGTTCTCTTGGTTTTTTAAATTGTGTGGGAAATGTTGCTTTCACTTTTCAAGAAAAATTCCATTGTTGTAAAAGATTATGTAGCTTGAGGGATATAGTAAGTTTCTCCCAAGTAGATGCTTGTATGATTACGTTTTAAATACTGAATGTGAAGCATCTATTCAAAAATATTTTTGACACGTATTTAAGGATTGTAAAACAATACTTATATTTATGAGCGTGATAAATGGGTATGCATATAGTCAGTAAAGGGATTAAACCCACTAGTAACCGGTGATTCTTTTCCTACTGTTAAATTAGGATGAAAATATATTATTTGCTTTGTTTGATTGCTTGCTTTGTTACTTGTAACTGATTTCTTTAGTACAGAACCTGCCAAGGCCATCAAAGCTATCGATGGGAAGTCAGTCCATCAGATTTGTTCTGGGCAAGTGGTACTTAGTCTCAGCACTGCTGTGAAGGAGTTGGTAGAAAATAGTGTGGATGCTGGTGCCACTAATATTGGTAAGTTTAGGAAAGTTTTAAGCCGCAAGCTTATGCTTTTCTATTTAAGAAACGTTTGTTATGATAATAATACAATTTAGTGTTGGTATGCCAATAAATTATTACTTTAATGTTAGCAATTATGATGTCCCTAGTACTTGACTAGGTGGCAAAAATACTAATAGCTGTTAACTTTCATTCTGTTTTTACTGTGAACCAGGCAGGTACTGTGCTAAGAATTACACATAGGTGGGGTGGTGCATGCCTATAATCCCAGCACTGTGGAGGCTGAGAGGCAAGAGGATTGCTGGGAGTTCAGGGCTAGCCTGGACTGTATAGTGAGTCCCTGTCTCAAAAAAAGAACAGAAGAACTACACGTAGAATATTTCATGTAATGTGCAGAATAGCTGTAAGTTGGGGTTATCACCCTTATGCTAATTAGGAAATTAAGGCATGAGGAATTTACTCTGAGGTTATAAAGCTAGTAAAATAGCATGTAGGAAGGCTGATTCCAGAGCCTGTTTGAAAGAAAAATTTTAAAATACTATTTAATTTGGGTTAATAAATAGCCCCAATGACTTAAAATATATAAAATCACAGCAGTACATTTAAGTAAAAGTATAGTCATGACTCCTGTTGTATGTGTCATTATAAAAGTGTTTTGTTATTTTTTAACCATCGATCAGTCTTTGAGAAGTAAGTATTTTAAATTTTTTAGATCTAAGGCTTAAAGACTATGGGGTGGAACTCATTGAAGTTTCAGACAATGGATGTGGGGTAGAAGAAGAAAACTTTGAAGGCTTAGGTAAGTTGAATTTTTCTAATCCTATTAAACATAACTGGGCCGAATAACACTGTCTTAGGTAATACAAAAGCAGCTGTTTAAAGCCAGCTACTTGGTAGGTATTGTGTATATTGGTTAGTGTCACGTGAGTCATGTTGGGCCTTACTTTACACTCTCTTTCAGCTTTGAAACATCACACTTCTAAGATTCAAGAGTTTGCTGACCTCACTCAGGTTGAAACTTTTGGCTTTCGGGGAGAAGCTCTGAGCTCACTCTGTGCACTGAGGTGATAACAATATTTTTATCCATTAACTTGACTCCTTTCCCTTGTATTCCATCCAGGCGGCAAGCCTATTGATTGGTGCCACCCACACCCAGGTTGGGACTTTCCTCTTCAGTAAAACCATTCAGCTCCCCCCAGAACTATGCTACACAGTTAGGATACCCGATCCATATATCACACACCCTTAATCTATATTCACAGGCCCTGCATCCAGCCACCTGCAGAAGCCCCACTTAGAAGGCCCCACATGAGGCCACGTAGGGGGGGACCTCTAGATACAAGTTATAACACTTTATGTTTTTGGTTTTTTCTGCAGTACTGGGGATTTAACCTAGGGCCTCAAGCAAGTGAGGCAAGTGCTCTACCACTGAGCTGCACACCCCAACCATAATTATTTGTGAATAAATTTTGAGATTGTTTGCTGTCTTACAATATAACCTTAAAAATTAAAGCTTTTATCAAAGCAGAGCATTTATAGAATTAATTTCTATCTCATTAGTTTTTAGGTGCCAAACCTTAGATTTTAGGATGACTCCTTACCCATTTAAACTCACTTGATTATATCAGGGGGATTGATACCATTTAAAGAATTTTGAGAGAAAGAAAAATGGGGAAAGAGTGTTCTGTGTCCAAGCCTGTCTAACGAGACAGCCATGCCTGCATTCTCTTACAGTGATGTAACCATTTCTACATGCCACACATCTGCAAAGGTTGGAACTCGCCTTGTATTTGATCACAATGGGAAAATTGTTCAGAAAATCCCCTGTCCACGACCCAAAGGGACAACAGTCAGTGTACAGCAGTTATTTTATACATTACCTGTGCGACACAAGGAATTTCAAAGAAATATTAAAAAGGTGGGCTATATTTACAGTCTCTGTCTTTACAAGCATCCATTGTGTTGCATACATGAATAAAAGTTTTCTTAAAGATGTTACTCTTGGGCTGGGGATTTAGCTCAGCGGCACTGCGCCTGCCTGGCAAGCGCAAGGTCGTGAGTTCGATTCCCGGTACCAAAAAAAAAAAAAAAAGATGTTACTCTTCAGTTGATTCTGTTCCTTTGATTTTCTCTTTAAAGGAGTGTTTTGTTTGCTTCTTCCCATCAAGACTGACTTATGGTGATTTATCTTTTTGTTTTGTGTTTTTTTTTTTTTTTTGAGAGTCCAATTAGATAGTTCAGGCTGGCTTTGAATTTACTATGTAGCCTGGGCTTGTCTTGAAATTACAGCAGTCCTCCTGCCTCAGCCTCCCAAGGGTTATTATATGTATTCTGTGTTTGTGTGTGTGTGTGTGTGTGTGTAGCTAGAAATTAAACACAGGGCCTTCTCCCTGCTAGGCACACATTGTACTACAGAGCTACATCTCCAGTTCTTTTTTTTTTTAATTTTTATTTTGAGATAGAGTTGATAAACTACCCAGGCTGGCCTCAGACATGGGATCCTCCTGCCTCAGCCTCCTGAATAACTGGGATTATAGGCATGTACAAATTATAGCTTGTACAAATACCTTTTTATAATCCAAAAAGTTGCTTAAGCATATGCAGCTAAAATCTTTTTTTTAATTTGTAAAGCAATCTGTACTAATTTTAACTTGATTGTATTTTGCAAAAATAGAGAAAATAATATATTTTTGCATCTTAGGACAAAAAATCAAAGCCTCAGAAAGATAGCTTGCCAGCAATGGCCATTAATAGCAGTTTGTCTTTTTAGATACTTTTCAATTTTATATGGTTATAAAAATTTCAAGATAAAACCAGGCGTGGTGGTGCACACCTGTAATCCCAGCACTTGGGAGGCTAAAGCAGGAGGATCATTGAGAGTTCGAGGCCAGCCTGAACTGCATAGCCAAACCCTGTCTCAAAAAAAAGACCAAAAAAAAAAAAAATTAACATAAATACATCAATTAATATAATGAAGGCAAGAAGTATAGAATGTGTAGTGTTGAACTGACATAAAATTGTATGTGTTAGTTGAAACTGTCTCTCTCTACTCTCTTAAGTTTGGTTTATGTCCTTTGGACTATATATAGGCCTGTGTACATGTAGTGTTTATATAGATGTTTCTGAAATCATTAGGATCATATATACCCTGTGTGTGGCTGACTTTTCATTTAGATATTGTAATTATCTTCTTTGGTCAGTGTGCCTTGTCTTACTCTTTGTCATTCCTCCATGACACAGATATAATATAATTTAGTTAGCTCTTTGCTGATGGTTGCTTAGCTTGTTTCTGATTTTTCACAGTTACAGATTATTTCAGTGAACATTTTTTGTAGTATACCTTTGTATGTTTGTCTTTCTACAAGGATAAATATCTTAAAAAAAAAAAAAAAGAAAAGAAAAAATTTCTAGGGCAGAGATTACATGGTCAAAAGGAATATCCTTTTTGATGCTTACCTCAGGGACAGGTGAGAGGACAGCGACCAGGAACCAAGGCCTGAGCTGCTTTTCACAGCACATAGAGGGATACTTCTTCATAGTTTATCTTGTCATATTTTGTTCCCTTATTTTCAAAATGATACAAGAATCTTGAATTGTATCTTGTAACTTGGACCATGTAATCTCTGAAAAATTAATGTTGAGTCTTGTGTTTGTCTTTTTAAACAGGAGTATGCCAAAATGGTGCAGGTCTTACATGCGTACTGTATCATTTCAGCAGGCGTCCGTGTAAGTTGTACCAATCAGCTCGGCCAAGGAAAGCGGCAGCCTGTGGTGTGCACAAGTGGCAGCACCAGCCTGAAGGAGAACATTGGCTCTGTGTTTGGGCAGAAGCAGGTAGTGGTGGCCAGTTACTGAAAATACTTTATTGTTCTGAGTATGACAGGTTTCATTGTCCTTTCCAGTAGAGTAAAAATAAGTGCAAGAACTGGTTTTTTTAAAAGCACCTGTCACAGAGTTAATAGTTGAGGGCTGCATCCTGAAGTTTCTCACTAAACAAAACAAAGTAGGGTGGGCATTGTGTTGATTATGAGCAAGAAGAGCACATGTGTTTGTTTTATCTTTGATGGTACAGCAAGACAGTTGTCAAGATGCTTTGATGAATTTCTTTGTACTTTTAAAGTGGGTAGCATAATGGGGAAGAAAACGCATCTTCCCTGAAGGTTGCTGTGTTCTGTGTGTATTAGGAAATAACCGTGGCTCTTGGTTTCTTTCAGGTGCAAAGCCTTATTCCTTTCATTCAGCTGCCCCCTAGTGACTCTGTCTGTGAAGAGTACAGCCTGAGCTGTTCCGATGCGCTGCATAATCTGTTTCAGTAAGTAGGTTGCTGCCAAGAGAAGACAACCAGTGGCTGTTGTCTTTTTTTTTTTGAAATAGTGATTTTAACACTTACTGTTTTTATATCCTTGTAAAACGGGGCATGCGCTCTGCTCAGAAAGAGTTGATTTATATGAAAGACTGAGTTACTTAATTCAAACAAAATTCTGGCTAACTAGTGCACTTCAGAGGGGTTTCTGCTGAATTAGTCTTTGTTGAGGCTGTTCATAACGTTAGAATAACTTTTATTTATCTACAGTGTTTGGCTTTTTGCAGACTTGGTGAAGGTAGTCCAGCATCCTTGTTTTTAGGCACTGCACAAAAAAATAAGTCTTCCTGAACAGAACTAGTCCTATGAAGATCCACGTCCCTTACTTTTTCTTTATCTACTTTTGGCTCATGTGTAAAATTACAAAGAAGGATATAATTTCTTTCTTTCTTTCTTTATTTTTCCCAGTACTAGGAATCGAACTCACGACCTTGCGCTTGCCAGGCAAGTGCTGTGCCGCTGAGCTAAAATCCCCAGACCCTCTTTATGTTAAAGTTATGAAAATGTAAGCATCCCTGGGGTGGATCTCACATAGAACAAGCATGTCACCAGCACCTTCGTAGATGTAAGTTTGCTGACTGAAGACAGAATTTGTATACGAGTGGTTAGACTCCATTGGCAAGTCAGTTGGCACAGCACCAAAGTCTCGCAAGTATGTCGGTTGTGAGACCCAGTCCTGACGTGGAGACAAAGGTTGAATGGGGAAAGTGAAAGGAGTGCTCGGCCAAGTCCATTGTGAGCCTGTTGCATTGCCTGTGAGGGAGTTTTGACTACATAAGCTTTGGGGCGTTCAGAACGCCTGGGCTCTCTGTGTAATTAATCAGGATGGAGCCAGATGCAGTGGAACAGAACCAGGAATATTCACCAGCACATGAGCAGGTGTTTTTAGTTGATTTTAAAACTGTGCCTGCCCTGTGCTCAGTGTTCTAATCCTGTGCACTCTGGAACAGTATCTCAGGCTTCATCTCACCTGGCACGCACGGTGTTGGGAGAAGCGCAACAGACAGACAGTTTTTCTTCATCAATCGGCGTCCTTGTGACCCAGCAAAGGTACTTACATGTTTTGTATTTATGTTAATGTCTTCAAGTTTTTATTTCTGAATTATTTCATGACTTTCTTATGCAGGCAATTTACACAGATCATGGGACTGACTCAGAAACATGGCTTTAAAATCGTTTTAGGCATTTAAGGAAGTCTACGATATGGTTCTTTCAGTTGTGTGTGTATCCATGTACATATATATGTGCATATATCCATAAATATATTAAGTACATATTAATTACCAGTGTATTCATTATCATAGAAACTATTACTGATAAAAGGAAAGGTTTCAAAACATTTGCTCTCATGTAGACTTTTCAATATAGATTGACCACATGCATATATTTCTGTATTTTCTTTTCCTTTTCTCCATTTTCCAGAAAAATAGCAGCCTGGATGATCTCTGTCTCAGACTAAAAACTGATCATCTTGATATAGTTACATACATGGGTTTTAAGTGGTTCAATTTTGCCTTTTACATCTTTAGCTTGTTACATCCTTAGCCTTTTATATCTTTAGCTTGTTACTTTAGAAAAGTAACATTTTCCTGTGTTACTTTTATCAGAAGAAGGAAGGAAAGGTAGGAGGGAGTGGGGTGTAAGGGAGGGTACTAGGGGGATGGATATGATAAAAATGTTATATACATATATGAAAATGTCAGATTCAAACTCAGTATTTTGTAAAATTAATAGGCGCTAATAAAAATACATTTTTAAAAATGTACTTATAGCTACCAAATGTGATTTGGCCTCTTAAAGTTTACAACCTGTATTGTAATTAGTGTGATTTTTATGGTTTACTTCTAATGCCATTTAATCTCATTATAATGTCATGAAATATGTTTCTAAGTACATTAAATGTGCTTTCTGAACATTTAAACTGTACCTGCATTTTTCTAAAATTTCACGAAGAGCATTTTTAGATTGGAAAAAGATTCAATTTTAGGAGTCTGTGTTTAAAAAGGGTCACTGTTAGAGACATGAGGAAACTTCGAGTAATGGGTATGTATTTGATGATGGGATAGTGGTGTGGCTGTGTATGTGTGTAGTTGTCAAATTGTACATTGCAAATATGTGCAGTTTACCGTGAGGCTATGTTAAGTAAAATATATCAGACACACAAGTGGATCTCTTCTCTTACGTGAGAAACTCATAGAATAAAGAGCAAAGGAAAAGATAATAAACAGCATATTTTGATTGTAAAGCTAGGTCTTTTGTAAGTGGGAAGGGAACTATAGATGAAGAGAAGAGGAATAAAAAGAACTAAGATGTGTTATGTACTTGTATCTCTCCCTAAATGGATGTAATCATTATGTATTCAAACATATACTAATAAAATAGTGCAGCTTATTGCATATAAATCATAGTTTACTAAAGCTGTACAAGTTTAATAAAATTTGATCCATTTGGTGATAGGTTAGAACAGCATGTTGTTAGAAAAGTGAGAGAAGGGAGTATTTATTCTTTGCTCATCATTGTTTCTTGGACAGGTCTCCAGACTTGTGAATGAGGTCTACCATATGTATAATCGACATCAATATCCTTTTGTTGTTCTTAACATTTCTGTTGATTCAGGTAAGTTCCACTGAGAATAAGTATGTTTATACTGTATAGGTGTCCTTTTTCTGATTGCTGAAATTCTGATTTATCATCATCTTTCTCTAGACTCTAAGAAATGTATACGTACTTACCTTAAGATATACACACCACACCCAGCCTTTGAGATGTGGAAATAATTTGATATCTTTCTCTTTATTGTTAAATGTGAACATTTTCTTTTCCACGTCATTAAGAAACATGACCTTAATACCTATATTATATTCCAGTGGTCCAGTCCATGATTACACTTTGATTTTTAAAATATTTTTAAAAATAAAATAAAATAAAATCTTTTTTGTGGTGCAAGGGGTCAAACCTGAGGCCTGGTACATGTTAGACAAGTGCTGTACCACTGAGCTCCATCCCCAGCCCACTAATTCATTTGGTTTTTGATACTTGTTTTGGGGTTTTGGAAATTACAAATACTGTCTTTGTAATTAAATCATTGTCTATATCTTTAAAGTAAATTCCTTATGGTGGAATTATCAGGTCAGTGAATTTGATAATTCTAAGGCTTTTTCTGTATTGTGTTCTCCTCATATTGTACCAGTTCACACATTTACCAAAAGTGTACTAGCTATCATTTTTTTAAACTAAATTCAGTAGAGGATAAAATACTTCGATTTGCATTTTTTTCTCTTATAAATTTTCATGTGTTTTTCTTTTACAGTGTACCCATTCAACTTTTTCTTTTTTTTTTTTTTGAGACAAGGTCTTGCCCTGTAGTTTAGGCTGGCCTTGAACTCCTGGCAATACTGCCTCAGCCTCCCAAGTGCTAGGTTTACAGGCAGGTGCTACCACACTCAGTACAGTGTACCCATTCAAATCCTTACATATGTTGTCTGTTTATAAAACAGTTCATGTTTTCCTTATTTATTTGAAAAAGCTAATTTCATTTAAAAATTTTACTCATTAATTCAGTGTGGTACTAGGGAAGAACCTAGGGCCTTTGCAGTGAGTCATATCCTTACCCTTTTTTAGTTTGAGAAGTGTCTTGCTAAGATGCCTAGGCTGGGCTTGAACCTGCGATTCTTTTGCCTTACCCTTCCAGAGTGCTGACATTATAGACATGGGCTGCCACACCTGGTGTTAATTTTATAATCTATGAATATTAATCTGAACACTCTAGTGCTTTTAATAGTGTTTTAAATAAGAATAAGTGAATGAAATAGTAGATGGGTAAATTTCTATTGTTAAAGGTGAATTTATTGTTTGGTTTTTTTTTTTGTTTTTTTTTTTTGGTTCTTTTTGGTTTATTTTTCCAGTACTGGGAATTGAACTCATGACCTTGCGCTTGCCAGGCAGGCGCTGTGCCGCTGAGCTAAATCCCCAGACCCTTGTTAAAAGTGAATTTAAACAATGTGTATTCTTTTTCTCCTTAGAATGTGTTGATATCAATGTTACTCCAGATAAAAGGCAAATTTTACTACAAGAAGAGAAGCTTTTGTTGGCTATTTTAAAGACCTCTTTGATAGGAATGTTTGATCGTGATGTAAACAAACTTAGTGTCAATCAGCAGCCACTGCTGGATATTGAAGGTAAGAAAGATGCAGTGATGTAACAGTTTCTAAAACTTTTAGCTACTGTGATGCCCTTTCTCTCTCCAAGGTAATTTTTGTTTGGTTTGGTTTGGTTTGTCTTTTTGAAGCAGGGTCTCATTATGCAGTTTAGGCTGGCCTTGAGCTCACTTTGTAACCTAGCCTGGCCTAGAACTTGCAGGAATCCTCCTGCCTCAGCCTCCCAAGTGCTGAGATGACAGGCGTGCACCACCACTCCTGGCTGGTAATTTTTTTTGACATGAAACGAAATTTCTTTTAGAAAAGATATGTCACATTAGAAAGTATATAGCTGCAGATTTAAGGTAATCTGTTTAGAAAGAGATACAAATGACCACATTTTACATACACAGTGCTATTTAATGATGTGTTTCTTAGGCTGTAATGGCCACTCAGGTTTTTCTAATTGTAAACAGATGACATAATATAAGATAGATAATGAGCAAAAGTTTATGGTGGCTGTGCATTCTTAACTTTCTTGTTGTTGCCTTTACCATGTATTTTGCATTACATTCTTAATGGTAACCCTGGAGGTTGCACTTAGTATAGCAATTTAATTCAGGTTAATAGCAACTTCATTTCAGCAGTATGTAAAACCTTGCTACTGTATAGCTTCTCCCATTTTTTGAGAAGAAGTCTTGTTATGTAGTTTAGGGTGTCCTTGAACTCACTATGTAGCTCAGGCTGGCCTCAAACTTGTGATCCTTCTGCCTCAGCCTCCCGGGTGCTGGGAGTATAGCCATATGTGATGAGTCAGTTCTTGCTCTTTGAAAATTTTCTTTTTGTCCTTCTTCAGTTTGATCATGATGCATGTAGGTGTGGATAGATCTCTGAGTTTATCTTAGAATTTGTTGAGTTTCTTAGATGTGTAGATTCCTGCCTCATCAAATATAGGAAGTTTTTGGCCATTATTTCTTTAAGTAATCTTTCTACCCCTTTGTCTTCCTCCTTTCCTGAGACACCCAGTGTGGGTGTGATGGTACCCGGCGGATCTCTGCCTTAGTTCATTTTTCCTTATTCTTTTTTTTTCTGTGCTTTTGACTGGATATCCCATTAGCCCATCTTCAAGTTTGCTGTTCTTCTGCCTCGTGAGATCTGCTCCTGAGCCTTTTACATACACAATCTCCAGAAATTCTTTTTTATGATTTCTATATATGGAGTTCTTATTTGGCAGGACATTATTTATGTTTTCCCTTAGTTTTTGTCTTAGTCCCTTTCTCTCTGCTGAGACACAATACCTGACACCTACAGCCTAAAGGAGAGGTTTATTTTGGCTCACAGTACGTAGTGGTTTCACCCATAGTCTGCAAACTCCAGGACCGAGGTGGCCTGAAAGTGCCTGAGTAGAGGGAAACTGCTTACATCAAGGCAGCCAGGAGACAGGGCCAAGGGAGGAGCTGGGAAAGGAGATAAACCCTTCCAGGTCATTCCCACAGTGACCTGCCTCTTCTGACCAGACCGTACTTCCTAACAGTCAGCCAGCTGTAACATCCTCATAAAGCAGTCACCCCTCAGAAGCTCCTTCTATGAGTACGTGAGGTTCTTGGGAGACATCTAGATATAACAGTTACTTAAATGTGGTTTCCTTTAGCACTTTGAACACATTTGAAATAGGTGGTTTAAAATCTTTGTCTAAGCTAGCGTGGTGGCACAAGTCTGTAATCCCAGCACTCAAGAGGCTGAGGCAGGAAGATTGCTGCAAGTTCGAGGCAAGACTGGGCTACGTAGCAAGATCAGGGCCAGTCTGAACTACAGCTTGACCCTGCCTCAAAAAAATAAATAAAAGTAGCCGGGGAGATAGCTCAGTACCGCAGTGCCTGAGTTGGATTCCTGGTACCAAATAAATAAATGAATGAATGAATGATTAAAAAAAAAAAATCTTTGTCTAGTCTGTCATGATCTAGCACACCTGTGGATGCTGCTCAGGAGGATGAGGCAGGAAGATCACAAACTTGAAGCCAGTTTGGGCAGCTTATCAAGACTATCTCCAAAAACAAAAAAGACTGGGACTGCAGCTTAGCAATAGTGTACCCTGGTTTCCATCCTTAGGTAGAGGGAGGGGATGACTGTTTGACTAATTAGGTCAAGGGTAGTTTATATTGGCCACTTTTTTCATGTGTATGAACCATATTTCTTTCTTTGCATGTCTCTTTTTTTTGTAATGGTGGAAAACTACACATTTGAATATTAGGCTGTGGCAATTATGGAAGTCACATTCCCCTTCTGAGGGTTTGTTGTTGCTGTTTGTTGTTTATTGATTGACTTTTTTGAGAAAGACCTCTGCACAGCCTCTGTTTCTTGTCATATATGGCCACTGAAGTCCCCATTCCAGTAGCGTATTGGTTGGCTCATTATTGGGCAGGGAGGCACTGTATGTGCCATTGGAACACACCTTCAGCACTTGGCCAGCAGGTTCACAGCTCTGCTTTAGTTTCACTTCCTGTTTGTGCTGAGTATCAGGGTCAGCCACAGTCAGCGTTCAGGGCCTTCTCAGGTCTTTCCTAGGCAGGCAAAGGGCCTTGTAGATTTCCAGGTTGATATTGGAGCTTTTCCAAGTCCCTGGGAAGCTTTTATGGTTAGTCTATTTTATGCTCAACTCCTATACAGTCAGAGACAGTGAAGGTAAAAAAACAATTGCCTTGAGTAGATTTTATAGGGTGCCCTCAAGGAGGGAGCTTTCTACAGTGGGTGAACTCCAGTCAGGACAAATTTGGGCAGCCTTGCGGGTGGATGCTAAGAAACCACCAGACAGAGCAAATGGGGTGTGAGGATGTGAGGTTTCCATAAACTCCAGTTCCATCCTGTTCTGTGGTGGCTGCCAGACTGGGAGTTAGTTTTACTTTGATCTTGGTTGTCCCTTCTGCCCCTGTACTGGGAAGTTAACCAAGGACCTTTCCCCTGAGCTACATCCTCAACCCTTTTTTGTATTTTGAGACTAAGTCTCCTAGGCTGGACTCAAACTTGCAATCCTCCTGCCTAGGTCTTCCAGAGTATGGGGATTATAGGTGTGCGTATAGGCATGCATGCAGTTAAAACCATTCCCAACTTGTGTTGTTTTTTAAGGATAGGACAGGGCTGGAAAGGAGGGACTGAGACTAGGCCAACTCAGAAGGCCACAAAGCTTGCTGTTCTTTTTAATTTTGGGTGTTTTGTTTTATTGTGACAGGATCTCACTATGTAGTTTAGGCTGACCTTGAATTTACCATGTAGCCCAGCACTTGAACTCATGGCAGTCCTCTTGCCTCAGCCTCCCGAGTGCTGGGATTACAGGTGTATGCCACCAAAAGCTTGCTTTTCTTAGGAAGAGTTACAATTTCTCCTGAATAAACACTTCCCAGTTGCTGCAACCCTTTTGTTAATTTCTAACGTTCTGAAAAAGTTAATTCTGACAATTTTTGCTGGTTTTTTCATTCCGTGTATGAAGGAGGGAGTTTTTGGAGGCTCTCATTCTGCCATTTTCCTTGGTGTCACCCCTGTACTGAGTGTCATGTTGAGAGTTGGCACAGATGGTGCGACATCTGTAATGATGTGCACAATCATTACTTTATTCTCTGCTCATATGTTCTCAGCTATTTGTTGAAGTAGCAAGTTGTGTTTTTATTCATTCAAACCAAGTGCATCTATGTGACCTGAGAGGGGCATGCACAGCTGAGCCCTAGAAGACACAGTTGGTGTTGGCCCTCTGGCAGCCAGACAGTGCCTTCATGAAGATCATTAGCCAGGCTGCCCCCAGTCTGTGTGTCAGGATGTGGACAGATGGAAGTGGGAGCACGTCATTGTGTCGTTGGTGAGCTGTGGTGTCTCTGGGCTCTGCAGGACCCAACTGGAGAGGCTGCCCCCAGCAGAAACAAGTTGTGCAGAAAAACTATAGTGTGAAACTCAGTTAAATCTGCCTATCTTTTAGCCATTTTATTGACTCGGAGCGACCACATAGAAACACACATACCGTGGTGTATGGCCTAGAAATATCGTAGTGCTGAAATCAGAAAACAGCTCCCACAGGACTGCCCTTGTGCCCCTTTTTCCTCCACCAACCTCCAGTGGTACCCACTTTGCTGACTTCTAATAACCTAGTCTTTAATTGGAAGTCATTCAGTCTTATGAGTTGTTTGTGGAATCAATTCAAATCACATGTGGCCATTTGCTCATTCATTCATTCATTCTTGTGCCTGTACAGTATTCCACTGTCTCAGTGTCTTTGTGGGTACTTGGGTTGTTTCCAGCTTTGGCTACCATGGAGAAGGCTGTCCCAAGCAGCCTCAGGCACAGCTTCTGGTGAGCAGAGGTGGGCATTTCTGAGTGGAGCAGCAAACCCCAGGTGACAGGTGTGCCCACAATTAGGGTCAGGACATGCCTGTAGGGAGATTTACAAAGTGGTTATACCAGTTTTACTACCATTGTTTAAGATTTCCACTTGATCCTCATCCTTGCTAACATTTGTTGTTTTCAAAATTTGACCCATTCTGAGGAATATATTACCACACCATACTGTGGTTTTATTTTGTGTTCCCTTTATGATTAACTTTGGACCTGTTCATATGGTTAGCCATTTGGACCTTTTCTTGTCCCACTGCAGCGCAGTCCCTGACCCTGTTTTCCATTCCTGTTTGATTAGGTAACTTAATAAAGATGCAGGTGGCAGAAATGGAAAAGCCTCTGCTGGAAAAGCAGGCCAGTTCCTCTTCACCAAGGACTCGAGGGGAGGAAAAAAGGGTCGTGTCCGTTTTCAGGCTCCGAGAGGCCTTTTCTCTTCGTCAAAACGCAGAGATCAAGTCTCAGGGCCTGGACCCTGCAGATCCAAGATGGAATTCTCCGAGACAGGAAGGAGGCACACCATCCCTTGGCGCCTCAGATCCCATCTCTGGCTGGGGCTTTCAGGACCCTCAGGAAGAGGTGACAAGTCCCAAGAAGGGCCCTGGTGACTCTGTGGACAGAACAGAAACAGATAAGGACTCGGGGCATAGCAGTACCCCAGCTGGCTCTGAGGAAGGGTTCAGCACCCCAGAAGCCAGAAGTCACTGTAGCAGTGACCACGCAGTGAGCTCCCCGGAAGACAGATTTCCACAGGACAGTGTGGACTCTCGGGAGCAACTGCTCGAAACCGACCGGCACTCTTCTGACATGAAATGTCATTTGGACCAAGAAGATGTTGGATATGAATTTAGAGCTTTGCCTCTGCAGACTGCTCTCCCATCCTCAAACATCAAGCGTTTTAAAAAGGAAGAAATTCCTTCAGCTGCTGACATTCCTCACAAGTTGGTTAATACTCAGAACATGTCAGAGACTCAGGTTGATGTAGCTATTAAAATTAGTAAGAAAATAGTGCCCCTTACCTTTTCTATGAGTTCTTTAGCTAAACGAATAAATCACTTGCATCACCAAAAACAACAGAACGAAGGTGAACAGAATTACAGGAAATTTAGGGCAAAGATTTGCCCTGGAGAAAACCAAGCAGCAGAAGATGAGCTAAGGAAAGAGATCAGGTAAAGTTTGTTCGGCATGATCTTTTGGTCACACCTGTGATTGGTTATTTAGAGTGAACCAGAGGCTGATCCTTAAAAACTCGGCCTTAGGTGTTTTGTTATTGTTTTGTGGTGCTGAGGATTGAACCCAGGGCCTTCACTCCGAACTACATCCCCAGCCCTTTATTTTTTATTTTAAGACAGTCTCACTAAGTTTCCTTGGCTGGGCTGGAACTTGTGATCCTGCCTCAGCCTCCCAGAGTGCAGGGCTGACAGGCGTGTGCCACCACCCCAGCGCTCTTGGTGTCTTTGCCTGTCTTCCTTCACCCTCCACTTAGATGGCATCTCCTGTCTGGTTTGGGGCTTGGGTTTCAGTGTGGCCTTTCTGCACTAGAATGGATCACCAGGATTTCCCTCCCTTTCAGGACAGGCCTATGCGGGAGGGGCCTTCCCTGCTGCACAGACCCACCCCTTCCTGAAGGACTTGCCAGCCTCTCTCTCCCTCCTTGTTGCTCCCCTCCTCAGATGCTAATGTTAGGATTGGTTTCGACTCCACAGATTGGTTGTTAGCTTTGCCAGCGCATCCTTGGCTGTGCTTTTTCTCTGCCTCTCACGTTTGTGACTCTTTTTTACCATATTCTTCTGCTTGGAAACATTCAAGATTTTTTGTCCTTAGATTTTCAAATTAAGCATGGGCTTTTTTTTTTTTTTTTTTTTTGGTACTGGGAATTGAACTCGGGACCTTGCTTTTGACAAGCAGGTGCTTGTGCTGATGAGCTGTGTCCCTGGCCCAAGCATGGGCTTCTTGACCCCAGTTTTTTCGCTTTCTGAAAGTTTTCGGCCCACAGTGACTTCCAGGCATTGAATTTGTGGCAAATTTGGTAGACATCACCATTTCCCATTTTTCACCTTAATGTACAGAGAACTAGGGGTGGCACGTGCCTGTCATCCCTGTATTTTAGGAGGCTGTGGCAGGAGGATCACAAATTCTAGCATAGCCAAAACAAGTTAGTGAGAGGTCAAGTAAACCAAGCTATAAAGTTTTGTTTCTTTTCCGTTGTTTATTTCAGCCATATACTGGTCGCTTTGTTTCATTACTGGGATTGACCCCAGAGCCTTCACGTTGAGCTGTATCTTCAGCCATTTTTATTTTTCTTTCCTTGAGACAGGGTCTTGGTAAGTCACTAAACTGTCCAGGGTAGGCCTGAGCTTGCAGTCCTCCTGCCTTATCCTCCCAGAATGCTGGGATTTCAGGTGTGTGCCACCATGCCTGGCACAGATACTTTTTTCTGTAGGAGACAGATCTACCAAGGACCGACAACATGCATCTTTAGGCCGGGACAGGTTCTTCCCAAAGGTCGTGCTGTTGGGCAGCCAGAGCAGATTCAGACGGTTCTGGAAGAGGTGGAGTCAGGACCAGGGGAGGTATCTCTCAGGCAGTGTCCAGTTTATTGGCTGGCACTTCTGCGTGCACCCATCTGCAACTGTGTGTTTCTCCTTCTGCACTGCTAGATTTGGAGGTGCACCAGAGTGTGCAGGGAGAACCTTACAAGACAAAGCAGAGCCTCCCTCCCGGCTTCTCAGTGCTCTTTTCTTTTCTCTCAAAGTGCAGTCAGCATGAGTAGCCCCTTATGTGCTGCAGTCCAGGCACCCTGCATCCATAGACTGTAGCCGCTCCTGCTCTGCCGGGGCTTGATATGTGGCCTCCACAGCGGGCCTATTCCATTATCCCTAGAGAAAGCAGCTACCCTGCACGTGTTGTTTTTTCATACTTCTTAGTTTAGTAGTTCGCCACCCTTTTATGGATTCATAACTAGTGTACATCTTCCTGTACACATCACTGGTGTGTTTTTGACTCTTGAGTGGACTGACTCATAAGGAAATGGTATCCAGAATGGTCCCAGGGGACAGATCCTCCAGGTGGGATTTACGGATTGCCTTGGTTGTGATGTGGGCATAAACTCAGTGCTGAACTCTGCCTCAGGGGATGGAGGGCTAGACCCTGTGGCATGCAGAGGGCCCACAGCTAGTCACACTGTCATCTGTGGGTGATTATGATGAGGCTGCGCCACCCCCTGCCCTGAGGCCCCAGTAGTGGCTGCAGGAGTGACGATCACCAGGTGGGCCGGTCTTCCTCCGTACACTGCAGCACTTTCAAAACAAAAGGGCGGACTCAGCTCCCTTCATTCCCTTCTCAGGCCCCTGCCTGAGAGCCTGTAAGTCCCATGGCACCACTCACAGCGTCATTGCTCTTAGCCACGGGGCTGACATTGAGGAAAAGCTGTTTTCACAAAATTTAATTGTGTAGATTGCAGGGTTACCATAACGATTTTCATGTGGAAGTTTTCGTGGTGTCCGTCTCTTGTCTACATTGACTCAAGTGTTTAAAGTACTCATATATTGGTGGGAATGTAAGCTTTTAAATTTCTATCCAAAGAAGTATATAATTCTACATCTAGGGATTGATCTCACAGAAACATTCCCACAAGTGAGCATGTTCTCTTGCAACCTGTGCACATTACTGAAATTGGAAACAGTGGAATGTCCTTCGGTAGAGAGTTTGTCAGGCAAATTGTGGTCCATCCATACAATGAATTCCCATAGGGCCGTTACAGAGAATGAGGTGCCTTATCTACTTTAGCTACAGGGCTGAGACTGGTAAAATTACGTGTAGAATCTCATCCTGCAATTGGCTGAATTATAATGCAACTGAACTCCTAGCCCAGTGGTGACAAACCTGTGACACACATGCCACAGCCCACTGTTTATATCACTGAAAGCTGTAAATGGTTCGCCATCGCTGTCCTAGCCTCTCTTGATATCTGCTATTAAGAAAGAAAAGAAGATAGCTAGAAAAAAAGCTTCCATCTGCTAAGAAAATACACACATAATCATGAACTGGATGTTGGTAGGGCTATTGCTGTGGTTTGAATCTGTAAGTCCCTGCAAAATTTATATGGTAGAACTTCACGTTCTCCCCGGCCTAAACCAACGGTGGTACATTCATGACTGTCTCACTGGCAGATGGCTTATATCTTCTGAGGGGACTGTCCCATACCACCTGATAAGACAGTCATGCATGTATCATCAGTGGTTCAGAGCCCGCTGGCAGTGAGACATACGAATTACAGCCCTGTTGCAAATGTGTTAATATCAAGGGTTAGGGCCTTTGCAGAAGTGTTGAAGAGGACTCGTCCCTAATGAGTGGGTTAAATTGAGTGAAGTGACCTGGTGCATTTGCTCTTCCACCTGTTGCCATGTGAGGACAATTGACAAGGCAGGTTCTTGGAAGCAAGGAGGGCAGCCCTCGCCAGATATCAAATCCATCAGTGCCTAATTCTTGGAATTCTTATCCTCCAAATCAATTTTTAAAAATGAAATGCACACATATATAATATCTGTGATGTGTTGTGATATAATATCTGTGATGTGATGTGTATGAAGAATTAAAATTTCATTTTCTTTTTTTAAATTAAAAATATATAAGCAAGGTATATCTTAATATATATACTGCTTGATATGTGTACACACATATGTACATACATCACACACGTTCACACACATACATATGTATCAGATTGTTAATAGTAGTAACTAATACCATCTCTGGAGAGTTGGATGAATGGATAATTGGAAAGTGTGGATTATTGGGATTATTTTATGTACTGGTTGATTTTTTTTTTAATGGTCTTCTGTTTTATAATCAGAAGAATAATCTTTTTTTAAATTAAGATTACTGGTACACTTTAGGTATATAGTAATCACATTCATCGTACGGAATTTGTACATGTATATGATACATCATGATATACCTTGAGGGGCTGGGGATTTAGCTCAGCGGCAAAGCGCCTGCCTGGCAAGCGCAAGGTCATGAGTTCAGTTCCTGGTACCGGAGAAAAACCAAAAAAAAAAACAAAAAACAAAAACATGATATACCTTGATTAAGAATAATCTTTTGAAATGTCTTACAATGAATATTTCCCACCCGCAGTAAAACGATGTTTGCAGAAATGGAGATCCTTGGTCAGTTTAATTTGGGGTTCATAGTAACCAAGCTGAAGGAGGACATCTTTCTAGTGGACCAGCACGCCGCGGACGAGAAGTACAACTTCGAGATGCTACAGCAGCACACTGTGCTCCAGGCACAGCGGCTCATCTCGTAAGTTCACGCGGTGTTTGGAATTTTCACTGCTGTTTGCCAAGTTTCTCCTCATTGAAGATTAAAAGTTATATGTGTGTCTGTATGAATACTTATGTATCTTCTATTCCATAAGTACCTATAGAGCAGGGTTTTTATTTATTTATCTTGCTATATCAGGTTGAATGTAGGGCCTTCACACTGAGCTACAACCCCACCCCCTATGTTTCGTTTCAAGACAGGTTCTTGCTAAGTTGCCTACACTGGATTTGCACTTTAGTCTTCCTGCATCAGCTTCCTAGAGTGCTGGATTACAGCTGTGTCCAAAACTCCATATAGCATACTAGTGGTCCATAGACTCCATATTACACACTAGTGGTCAGTTATGATTTACTGAGTACTTATTATGTGCCTGGCACTACTGAAGAAATTTACAATTATTAGCTCATTTAGTCTTCATACACCTACAAGTTTTTACTGTTGCCAGGTGATAAAGCTGAGGCACAGAAAAGTTGAGTAACCTGCCTACTGTGTTCTTTAGGTATTGAACCTTTTTAGGTGTATAAAAATGTTGTTCACTGGTTGTCTGGAAAATCCTTTTGGAGGTGAAGGGAATTGGGGCCCAATGATGTAGTATTTTGTATTTATAGTGTGTAGGATTGACATCAGAAAGGCAGCCCAGCCTGTAGGTCAGTCTTTGCATCTGTAGCAGAGCAGTTTCAATGGGTGAATAGTCCCTGCAAAATTTTGTATCCCTGTCTTTGTCAAATTGAATGCTTTCAATGACTTTGTTCAAGAGGACATGATGGTATATCACATAAGCCAGAAGTCTTAAAGAAAAGTTATAAATCCAAGCATTGTGGTCCATGCCTGTAATCCAGTACTTTGGGAGGCTGAGGCAGGAGCATTGAGAGTTTGAGTCCAGCCTCAGCAACTTGGTGAGACCTTGTCAAAAAAAAAGTAAAAGAGCTAAGGATGTAGCTCAGTGCAGAGCACTGGATTTAATCCCTAAGTACACACACACTTGTAGAGGATGTCATGAATTTTCATTGGGTTGAACTAAGCTATGTAGAGAAATAAACTCAGATTACAGTGGATGCAGATGTGGCCTAGAGAAATACGCCACTAAGTAGTAACTCAGCTGAGAAAATATATCTAGTTTACTGAGTACTCTATTTCCTACAAAATGCTTCACTTGAGTTCATTTTTAGTTAGGAGTAAGTGGGAGTAATAAAATCACTTGGTAGACTACTTTATAACAGTGAGATATTGCTGCTGCTCTCAGAGATTTCTTTCTCAGCCCTTTTGCATAAATAAAGTCTTGTATGTGGCCCTTCAAGTCGACCCAGGTAATTACAGGCCACTTTGGGGACAGATAAGCTACACTTCAAGATTAAAGCATAAAGGCTAAAATTCTGCCCTGGCCTACAGCCTTGTGCAGTTTGGCACATTGATTTCCTTAGCGTTTCCTAGCCCTCATATGTTTACCCTCTATACTTTAGCCTCTAGGGCATTAAGAGTGAAACATATCTTTTATGTGTGGTGCTGGGAACACCAGCAGTCCATTGGAGGGAGCAAGTTTGCAAAAATTGTTTCTGCCCGAAACACTCATCTTGCACCTGCTCCCTTACCTCTATTATCTAAGTTGCTCCCATATTCCCAGAGCTCATTTCAAACTTTACCTCCTTGAGGGGAGAGGGATCCTTGATCCTAGGGCCAAATCTCACTGGTTGTACAAATGTGCTCCTATAGCACTGGTGGTATGTCTTCCTTATTCTCATATTGCTAGTAGTTTTAATTGATTTGCTAGTAGTTTTAATTGATTTGACTGTTCAGTATCTTTCTTTCCCACAAATCTAGGGTAGAGACTTAAGTCTGATTTTGCTTACCATGCCGTCTCCTGCTTTTGTCAGTGCTTTTCTTACCCTTCCTTAGAGATAGTAGGGAAGTGGATGGATAACTAATGCAGGCAGAGGGAGGAGTGGGCTAGTGAAATACTTGTTGTCTATTCATTATTTTCAAATGCCAGTATTGAGCTAACCCAGCTTTGCAACTTAGCTTTATTGTGAAGAGGAAAATTTGGTACATGGCTATCCTTACTAAGAGGATGCAAAAGAAGACCAGGTAATTGACGGCATATCAGATTAAGAAGAAAGCAAACTACTTTTGCAGCTACTTTAACCTCTTAAAAAGAACCTTATGAGGAGAGGAAAACCAGAAGGAACTCTGTGACCTGAATACTGGAAAGGCACAGAACTGAAAAATGATTTTCATGTATTTTTTAAATAAATTGAAAGTATTATAGTATCATTTCATTTTTCATTTCTGCTTTAAAGGTAAATGTTTGACTTCAAGTTGTAGTTTGAATCTCTTGTTTTTCAGACCTCAGACTCTCAGTTTAACTGCTGTCAATGAAGCTGTCCTGATAGAAAATTTGGAAATATTCAGAAAGAATGGCTTTGATTTTGTCATCGATGAAAGTGGTAAGTTGCTAACTAAGGCTATTGAATTGTCTTTTTAGGGCTAAGAATAATCTTTAAGGTCATGTAGGTCTGTCTCTTTATTTCATAAGAGGTAAACAAAGTTCCCCCCAAAAAGCATTTTGGGTCTGCCTCTCCTTCAGAAGTCCATTATAAATAGCACTCAAGGGACACATATTTCTTTTTTTTTTTTTGGTTTTTCTCCGGTACCAGGAACCGAACTCACGACTTGCGCTTGCCAGGCAGGCGCTTTTGCCGCTGAGCTAAATCCCCAGCCCCAGGACACATATTTCTTAAATAATGGACTTTTCTCAAAATGTTATTCTTTGTAGCTCCGGTCACCAAAAGGGCTAAATTGATTTCCTTGCCAACGAGTAAAAACTGGACTTTTGGACCCCAAGACATAGAGGAACTGATCTTCATGCTAAGTGACAGCCCTGGAGTCATGTGCCGGCCCTCCCGAGTCAGGCAGATGTTCGCCTCCAGAGCCTGCCGGAAGTCTGTAAGTAGAGTGAGGCCGGCTGCTGGGCCTGTAGGTCTGCTCATGCCTGTGGACCAGGGAGGGTCTCAGTTCAGCTCCTGATTTGGTCTGGAGCATCCATGATTGCCATGGGTCATTTTATATAGACAGCCGCATCACCTCTGTCAGTAAAATGTAGCAGTTGGCAGGTCTGCATTATCTCCAACCTCTGACTCATACTGCTTTTCATTCCCATGGAGTGGTGTTTCACCTCACAGCTTTCATCTGTCCCTGCACCGTTAGCTCTGTGTATACCTTGTTCATCCTGGCCCTCATGGGTAATAGCAGCATCGGTCAAGCAAGATTTGTGGCTGCCAGGCTGAGACGACATAGCACACACTCCCCCAGGGTCAGTGAGCAGGTGAAGGTGTCCTGTGGCAACCATGTGAGGGCATCAGTGTTGTGTCCCTGCCACCACTCACATTGGTTTTTGTTTTTTTGTTTTGGTTTTTTGGTTTTTTTCCAGTACCGGGAATCGAACTCACGACCTTGCGCTTGCCAGGAAGGCACTGTACCGCTGAGCTAAATCCCCAGCCCCCACCACTCACATTGGTGATGGAGAGTGGTAGCCGTGGCTGGGTGTTAGCCTAAGGTCCTTTAAAGTAAGTGGCTCTGTTACCTGGCCACATTTCTTTCTTCATTTGACAGACATTTCTTGAGCTCCCAGGGTATAGCTTGTTCCAGGTGAGGAAACAGAGGTAACTAGATAGGTGAGATCCTTGCCCATGTGGAGCTAACAGTTTAGTGCAGAGAAATAGACATAAAAGTAAATGGCACCTCAGGCCACCAAGTAAAGAGAGTTAAGCAGCACGTTAGGGTAGGGAGTGACTACAGGAGAATGCGTTGAATGAGGAGGTGGGCAGTCGGGAGCAGCTGTCTGAGCAGCTGTGTAAAGGTGAAGTGCAATCCCTTTGGGCAGGGACTTTCTGGATTGAAGAAAGTAGGTGTCAAGGCTGGCGGGGTTCTTGAGCAAAGTCAGAGGTTGGCGGGAGAGGGCCAGGTGAGAGTGCGTGGTGGCCAGAGGACAGACCACACAGTCACTGCTGGGGGCATGCAGGTGTGTGCCTCCTGTGATGGGACCTGCCAGCGAGAAAACTGTCATGTGGTGCTGGCACCGGGGATAAGGTTGGGGAGGGGCAGAGTAGGGGTTGGAGCTCTGTTGTAGACGGGTGCTAGGTGAGGCCACATTCAGCTGCAAGCAGGGTATCTGCAGATAGCACGTGTGTGAGTCTCGGACTCGAGGGAAATATCAGGGCCACAGATCAAATTCAAATGGCATTCACAACCTCAAGGTTGCATGAAATTACTCCACAGAAGAGTGTAATTAGAAGAGCGGCCAGGCATGGTGGTACATGCCTGTCAGCATTTGGGAGGCTGAAGCAGGAGGATTGCTTTGAGTTTGAGTCCAGTCTGAACTACATAGTGAGGCCTTGTCTCAAAAAAAAGGGAAGAAAGTGCCCCAGATCTGACTTGCAGGCACAGATATGTGTTTGATGAAGATCTCGTACTGACCTTCCAGTCTTGAAGTCTTGAGTGGGCATCAGAGCAAGTGTGGCCAATGCTTACAGCCAAGCACTTTAACATTCTGTCTTGATGACTCTGAGGGCTATGGAGCTGCAGCTGCACCTCCCATTCCATCATACTTCAGTTCTTCCTTTCTCTTGCCTTGTGGGCTCTTTCACATCACACATCCTTCCATTCTGCCCCAGGGATGCCGGGTGCCAGCCATCTCCGCAGTCTCTCGTCTCCTGCCTGCCTCACGCCTTTTCTGCTGCTGTTCCCCTGCCTGGACCTGTCACCTGTGCTCCTCTTGGTCTGGCTTCCTCCTGTCCTCAACACCCCCCCACCCTCCCGAAGTGTGACACCTGTCTTGCTTGTTACCTTGTTTACTGTCTGTCTGCAGTGGGGCAGGGCCCTCCTGCCTGCAGCCTTAGAACTGTGCTGGTGTGTGGTGCTGTAGGAGGAAAGATGGTGACCAGCAGGTTTGGACTTGTCGTGTTGTCTGTTGCTCTCCACGCGCATGTCCGAGAGTGAGCAGGGCTGGAGCGAGGGACAGGCGTGCTACTCCTTTGAGAGTGGGCCGAGCCCCTTGAGCAAGAGCCCTGGGAGGGATGGGAGTGTGGCCCAGGGACAGCCAGGTCCATGGTCCATGAGGAACAAATGGCACCACTGTGGCTTGAGGGGGGCTGTGCATACTGGGAAATGCAGGCATGAAGCCCTGTGTGGGCGCATTAGCGGGTAATGGGAGCAAGGGAAGAGCCCGGCAGTGTGCCTTCAACAAGCATCCCTTGCTGCTGAGTTAGTGGAGTATGTACAGTGCTGCTGTTGACCACGCGCAGATGAGAGGTGCCGGAGCTGCTGAGAGCACTTGGCTTCAGGACTGGTCAGGTTGGCATCTTCCGAGAGAGATGGTACCACTCTGCCAGAGCCTCGGAGCCTCTTGAGTCCACAGAAAGGTGGAGGCCGGAGGTTTTGGGAGAAAGGTGTTTCACAGATTGTTGTTGAGCTACTGTAGTCTTGTCCAGTCTTAGAGAACAGTGCTTTTGAAGAGCACTTTAAAACTTTAAACCGTTGTGTCTCCAACCCAGGTTATGATTGGAACCGCTCTTAACACAAGCGAGATGAAGAAGCTTATTGTCCACATGGGCGAGATGGACCACCCCTGGAACTGTCCCCATGGAAGGCCAACCATGAGGCACATTGCCAATCTGGAAGTCATTTCTCAGAACTGACACTTCTCACTTCCTAGACTTGGAAATTCTATTGCAGACTTTTCTGTTTTGAAAGACAGGGTCTGAAGTAACCTTTGGGTTTTTTTGTTGTTGTTGTTTCAAAATTAACTTGCTACTTTAAAAAAAAATGTACCAGATCAATTTAAAAATGATCTTAAACTGGATGCAGTGGCTTGTGCCTGTTAGGAGGCTGAGGCAGGAGGATCACTTGAGCCAAGAGCTCCAGACTAGTTGGTGCAACATAGTAAGACCCCACCTCAAAAAAGAAAAGGTCTTGAGAATTTTTTCAAACCATGTGAAGCATTGCTTGGAATAGTTCTTATTCTGTGTTTGAGTGTGTGTGTTTGTGTGTGTGTACATGTGTACAGGTAACGTGTTTTTAAAAAATCAGAGCACTTTGGAAGTTAACCAGGCCTCTCGCTGGAAATTATTCTGCAACTTTTAGTTCTCAATGATAAATTTATATTGGCTTAATTTCCTAAATTTAAAATTATGGTCCTTTTGGGTTAGTGCTTATCAACCCTGATGCATATTAAATTTTAGAAAGGAATAATTTTTAAAAATCTAAGGGGGTTCTTGGCTCAGCTGGAAAGAAGTGACTGGATCGGCCTGCAGTCACTATTATTAAATGTTTCCCAGTGCAGCCAGGGTAGAAAGTGCTATTCATATGAGGAAAAAAGATTCTGGTTTTTCTGTAACTTCATGCTATAATTTAGTTTTCTTGGGGTGTGAACTGTAGGAATCTAGTCTAATTTGAACTGTGGCAAAAATGGAAGTAAAAAATGCCCTTAATGGAGTCCAGATAGTGGTTGGGTTCAGGGATAAGTGCAGGTCACCCCACAGCCACCCCATCCCCCTTGGGGGAGCAAGGACTTGCAAAGGGTAGAATTCCTCAGCTGTCAGGAGACAGTAAAGTGACAGCTATTTTCATTCATGGCATCAAGCTCTGTGTTGGTGTGCGTGATCTACAGGATCTCATTTAATGTCCACAAGAACTCTACAAACTAGGCATTGTGGGAGGCATGGTAATGGCCCCCCAAATATGGCTGTGTCTTAATCCCCAGAACCTGTGAATATGTCACTTCATATGACAAAAACGATTCCACAGATGTGATTAAGTTATGGAGCTTAGGGTGGGGAGATTGTCCTCTACTGTCTGATGGGCCCACTCTTGTCACGTGAGTTTGTCAAAATGCAGGACTGTCCGCAGCTGGCCCAAGCAATGCACCAGTGCTGATTTTGAAGACTGAGAAAGGCACCACCAGCCATGGGATGCTGGCAGCCTCTAAAACCGGAAGGGCAAGACCAGTCTTTCACTGGAGCCTCTAGAGGGAACCAGCCCTGTTAGAGTCACAGACCTGTAAGATAATAAATGTGTGTTGCTTCAAGCCACCAAGTTTGTGGTCATTTCTTTAGGACAACAATGGAAAAACTAACGTCTGAATTTTTCCTATTTTATGGGATAGTAGAATGAGGCAGTCTCAGGTCAAATGCATTTAGCTCCCGCTATCCTGGCCTCAAGGACAAATGGGCAGAATGCCATACTCTGCTGCTGCTTGCTGCTGTGGCCCCTTTAAGAGTGGTGGGGGCGGGGCTTGGGGCTACTGTTGCCGGGGAGACCAGCGGTTCCGACGCCGGGGCCCTGTGCCACCTCTTGCCCTCCTAGCCTTGGAGAGGCCCTGAGTGTCACAGTGGGTCAGTGTCACAGGCCAGCAACATAGCGCAGGACCAGACGGACTCCTGGGACCTGAGAAAGTGCGTATGGGTGAGAGGGTCTGGAGTCCGGCAGACAAAAAGCGCAGCTTGCGGCTTCATTAGCCTCCGAGAATGGGAGAAAATAACGGGGAAACACTGAGAAAGTTTGCTTTATTTGTACTTTAGTAGAAGACTGAAAGCCTATCATAAGGGCTTGCCCACGGAGGGAGATGGGAGCAGCCTGGCTGAATGATCCAGGAACAAAAGTCAGGGCCTTGGGGAGGGTGCCCTGGTAGTGGGTGGAGAGGAGGAATCGAAGAGAGAAGCCTGGGGGTGGCGTTCCGCAGGCAAACGGGGTTCCCAGGGGATGCTGTTCAGACACCGGCAAGCAGCGCCGCCCCTGCCCCAGGGCGCGGGAGCAGGAACCTAACTGCACCTCAACTGTGCATCTTGCCTAAAGGACTAAGATGTTTTCTTGGGGCCTGTTTTTCAGGACTATGAAAATTAATACCCCTTTCAGCACCCAGCTCCAAACCCTGAAGCCCTGAAGCGACGTTGAGCCCATCCTTTCTCCTCTAGCTTGTGAGGTGCACTCAATGTTGGCACGAGAGACTAGGCCGCCGCTGTTTTCAAGTTCAAAAGTGAAAGTGACAGGGTAACCCCTGCCTTTATCCGCTGCTGTGTATGGCAGTGATTTTTCTGTGCTTCATCCCACTGAATCCTCACCATGAGACAAGGTACTGTTATTCCTATTTGCTGAGGCAGAAGGAGGGTAAGCCACTTGCTTGAGGACACAAACCTGGTAATAGGTGGTGCAGGAGCCTGAACCCAGCTCAGGAGCACTTTAGCAAGCGAGCATATTAGGCGAGGAGTTGCTAAGCTGAATTGATAGTATGCAAAAACTTAAAAGGTTATACGGTCATTTTATGAAGGATTATGGTTCTTACTGCGGCACTGTTTGAAAAGAAATATTATTAGATGGTGGGTCTAATGTTAAAAAAGTTTAGGAACAACCAGTGCAGTATTAAATGTTTATAAACTCATGATACTTGTAATTATTTTCCGGCTTTGGGAGAATGATAATGATGGTTGTGTGCTAACCGTGAATTTTTACAAGTGAAACCTCCAAGTATTTAGAGATTGAATTTTTGTTTTCCAGGTAATACTCTGCTTGGAAACAAATAGCTGTCAAGCAAAGAAATCATTGGATATTTGTATGCATAAAGCAAACTCTAGGACTTCCAAAGACAATGGTGAAAGAAAAGAAAAGAGCAGACAAAAAGGGAGATAAATCATCTCGCTCTCCCTCATCTTTCTCTGAATATCCAGAGCTTCCCAAGCAAGATGTCAACATCCCTAAGCAAGAAATATCCCCAGTTGCCATTGAGCCAATGGAAATACCTTTAGAGCCCCCACATATTCAGGAGGATGAAGATACCGCCGAGTATGAAGAGCCCATTCTGACCAAACTCATAGTGGAAAGGTGACTTCCGTGGGGTGTGATAAGATTGGACCCTTTAAGGGGTGTGCCACAAGCATGTGATGCCTCACACATTTATGATCATCACACAGTGTCTCTGCTCTGAAAATGACTCCTCTTCCCAGCTGTGTCTCTGTGTGGTGCTGGCTTTTTCCCACTGAGGTCTCTTGGGGTGAATCTTCAGTCCTCTGAAGATTCTATCACTTTCAGACTCCTGGCGATCTCTTCCTGTAGTTTTTCCTGCTGTCTCCCTAGGTGATGGTAAACATCTCTTGTTTTTGTGCTGCTGGGGACTGAACTCAGGGTCTGGCACACTAAGCAAGTGCTGTACTACCGAGCCACACCCCCAGCACCTACCCCGTACCCCTTAAAGTTTTTGAAACGAGTCTTGTAAAGTTGCTCAGGCTGGCCTGCAATCCTTCCGTCTCAGCCTCCTGAATATTTGGTATTACAGGCATACATCAACATGCCTGACAAAATATTTTCTTTACCTAGAATTTCTGATTCACATTTTAAAGTCTCTATTGGATATTGGCAACTGGCTTCAAACTCCCCATGTCCAGCTGAACTTACTAGGTCTGGATTTGAGTCTTAGTTCCGTAACTTCAGCCCAACCCGTCACCCTTGCTGAACCTTAGGTTCTTCATTGAGGAAAGTGGAAGAGATCAGGCATCTTAGGAGGTTACTGGGAATGTCACTATGTCTCTCCCCTGCTAGTGCTTCCCGTGTTCCCTTCTGGAATGGCACCACCATTTTCCACATCTCCAGGCTTGAAACCTTAGAACTCCTCTCCTTCCCCGAGTCTTCATGCTTCTCTTATGCTTTTCTCGTTAATCTTTTCCCTTTGCATAGAGTCTGTTCTACTTGATGAGGTGATAAGACTCATTTCCTAAAGACTTTCCTGCTCCCAACCCTTTTCTAGCCTTCCTAAAGCATGGTCATTTTTGCCTGTTCCTGTGTGACCTACCTACCACCTTGTAGAGATCACCCCAAAGCCTTGTAATTTACCACTGTAAATGAGATACCTTGTGTGGTTCTGGGGTCCGGGTCCACAGCTGGGTGTCTGAGGTCGGGCCTCTCACAGTTCCAGTGGAGATGTTAGGCCTGGGTGCTGTTATATGAGGCTTGACTGGCCTGGGGGATCTGCTTCGTAGGGGACTCATTCCCATGGCTGTTGGCAAGAGGCCTGGCCTCAGGATTATATCACACAGGCTCTCTGAGTCCACAGCATGGCAGTTGCCTTCCTCAGAGAGGATCTAAGGGTAGAAGCCAAAGCATAAATACATCTTCTGGAATATATGCTGAAACTTAGCCTTGGAGGTTACCCTCAACTTTCCCACAATGTCCTAGAGGTCACAAGGCCAGCCCTATTCCGTGGGGTGTGAATACAAGGGGAGAATTGTGGGGAGCTATGTGGGACCCGACCTCCCCATCCCCCTTCTTTACCACCCTTGAGTCTCTTCTCATTGTCTACAGAATAAAATTCCTCGGCCAGTGCTCTGATCCTCACCGACCTCACCCTGCCCTCCCACGGTGGGGCCCAGCAAGTATCTCTGGGTGGATTCCACTTGGTCCTGTCTGCTTTATAGCCTGGCCTTCCTGGAAAGTTCCCATTTTCTGTAGGCCAAGTCCCACCTGCTCTTCAAAGCCCAACCCTTCCTGTTCATTCTCCTTTAAAAGACTTTGCTTAGAACTTCTTTAAAATCGAAAGCCCTTCCATCATGTTATCATCTCTGTTATTCATCACTGTACTTATTGTTTTCTTTATATGCACACACGTGACTGGGATCCTGCATAGCCTCCAACACCAGAACTTAGGCCCTAGGCCTGGGAGGCGCTCAGTTAAGATTTATATAGCTATCGTGTACCTGCCTGTTCATCTCTATAGCTGAACACTATTAGAGGATCATTAAAAAGTATGAAACATGGCTTATACAGGCAGTAATTCTTTTTCTTTTGGGCTGTTTTTAGTGAAGCTTTGAGATCAGTGTGCATGAGTTAGTCTGAGAAAGTGGGATCTGCAGTTCCATTCAGGCAGGAGCCCCAGGAAAGATGTCCTGACACAGTAGGGGGTCCCCAGCCAGAGCATCTGCACGTATGAGTGCTTTTGGGGAAAGGTGAGGTGTTGATACTGCTGATGGAGCTGTTAGTATGCTTAGAAATCCTTTGCATTTTCTTTGTTCCTTGTTTTTAATTCCTGAAGCCAGGTATACTTCTCTTGACAAGTGAAATAATGCAAAGATGTGTTGAGTTAGTCATCCCCACCACTGTATTCAGATTTCCCTCTCTCTGACCTTTCCCTGGTTACCACAAGCTCTTTTATCTTGGGTCTTCTGTTTTTTTTTTTTCCTGTGCTGGGGATGGTACCCAGGACCTCATGCATGCTAGGCAAGGGCTCTACTGCTCAGACACACCCCAGCCCACTCAATTATAATCAAGTTGTTTGGATTTTATAAGTAAATAATCATATAATCTTCAAAGTAAAATAATTTTGTATCTCTTCAGTGCTAATATCACTTCTTTAAATTTCCTTTTTTTCTTTTTTTTAAAATTTCGTGATGTTGGCATTAACTAGAACCTCTAAAACAATATTAAGTAATTGGTGGTAAAAGCAGATGCCGTGTTCAGTTCTTGATTTTACCAGAATGGATTTCAGTATTTTACCCTTCAAAATCATATATGCTGGTTTTTTGCTCATAAGTAGTTTGTTATGTGTAAGTAGTCTTATCATATTATAACAGCATTTTTGTTTTGTTTTGGTGTTACTTGGGATTGAACCAAGGGCCTGTTCACTGAGTTACATCTCTAGCCCTATTTTATTTCTTGAAACAGGGTCTTGCTAAACCACTAGGTTCCACAGGCTGGGTTGGAACTTGGAATCCTCCTGCCTCAGCCTCCCAGAGTGCTGGGATTACAGCTCTGTGCCACCATGCTTGGCCAGAATTTTTTTTTTAGAAATGTTTGTTAGAATCTATGGAATAGCTTTCTAGCACTGTGATACACACATGTGTTTTTTCTTCTTTAGTTTTCTGATGTAATGAGTGTTTCTACAGATTTTTCTAATGTTTAATTTTCCTTGATTCATGGAGGAAGCCCAGTGTGGTCACACTTATCACAGGTGTTTTGTTTTCTTCTCATTCCGGGGCTCAGAGATGAGTTATATGACAAATCACACATCATCCCTTTGGATCAGAGCTAAAAATCTGGTCCCTGTTCTTTTTTTATTTTATTTTATTTTTGTTTGTTTTTGTTTTTCTCCGGTACCGGGAACCGAACTCGCGACCTTGCGCTTGCCAGGCAGGCGCTTTGCCACTGAGCTAAATCCCCAGCCCCTGGTCCCTGTTCTTGAAGCTGCCCTTTCCCAAAGCTAACACATCTTTTCCTCTCTTTTCTTCTTTCCTTTTTTTTTTTTACATTTCATTAATTTTGAGACACGGTCTCAGTAGGTTGCCCTGGCTGGGCTCCAACTTGCAGTCCTCCTGCCTCAGCCTCCTAGAGTGCTGGGATTACCCCCCGGCCCAGCTTTTATTTCCTAACTATACATTTTAACGTCCTGTCCCCTGGGCTTATTCACATCACTGATTACCTCCAGCCTCATTTCTTCATAGGTATGAAGGGGAGAAAGTCTGTGGAATGTACGAGGGAGAAGGCTTTGCAGTCTTCCAAGGTGGTGGCACCTACCACGTGAGTCACTTCCTGGGACCTGCCAGGAAGGTGGGAGAGAGGTGTGGGGTGATAGTTTATTTTTTGAGTACTAGAGATCAAACCCAGGACCTTTGCACTGAGTTACAACCCCAGCCCTTTTCTTATTTTTCTGAGACAGGGTCTCCCTAAGTCACAAAGTTGCCCAGGCAGGTCTGGGTTGGCAATCCTCCCCCTACCGAGGGTGACAGGTTCAGATTTGCAAGTCTTTGGTCAGTGTCACTGATTATTCGGAAGGAATTGCAAGTACTTCCTGCTGATTTTATTGTGAATCCTGACTACATATATAAAATCAAAGAATTGCTTAGAATAACTGAAGTAGTCATTTGAGGTTTTTGTTTTTTTAACTTGATTTGGATCTATTTTAGCTCCATCACTAAAGTAAAATCAGTTATCCCTTGGTATCTCTGGGGGATTGGTTCTGGGGCTCCCTTCGGACGCTGGAGTCTTTGGATGCTGTGGTCCCCTATGTGAAATGGGGTGTAACTGATGCTGCCTACAGTTGTAGGCCTAGCTACATTGTAGACATCCCCATGGAACTTTTTCTAAAAGTTCTCCCTCTGCTTTTGGTTCTGTGCCCAAATTGCAGATTCAGAAGTTGTGGCTTAAGGCTGGGGAGATAGCTCAGCAGTGCCTGCCTGGCAAGCGCAAGGTTGCGTGTTCGATTCCCGGTATAAAAAAAAGATACGATCTTTCATATTTACCTATTGTGCCGAGTGTGGTGGTGCACGCCTGTAATCCCAGCACCTGGGAGGCTGAGGCAGGAGGATTGTTGCAAGTTCCAGGCCAGCCTGGGCTACAAAGTGAGCTCAAGGCCAGTCTGAACTGCATAGTAAGACCCTGTCTCAAAAAGCCAAAAAAAAAAAAAAAGAAGTTGTGGATTAGAAGGCCAGCGGAAACCCCAGTGTTGCTATCATTTTGTCATAAATATGTGGAATTTGCCATGTTTCTTTCAAACCTTGAATAGATATGTCAATATTTATATATGAGCTTCTCCCCCCACAAGCACTGGGGATTGAACCCAGGGCCTTTGCACTGAGCTACGTCACCAGCCCACTTACCCCTTCCCTGCCCTTTTTTGAGACAGGGTCTCAATAAGTCACTACATTTCCCAGACTGGTCTCGGACCTGTCATCCTTCTGCCTCAGCCTCCCTGAGTACCAGGATTACAGGTGTACACCACCACACTTGACTTCTCTGGGGATTTTTAGAAATGTACATTTTGGGGCTGCAGACCAAACCTGTTCATGAGTGGGAAGCTGGGTGGGCCCGGCAGTCTGCATTTAAGAAGCCCTGGTGATTGTTATGCACGGCAGCATCTGAGAACCATCCACCCTGCCTCTGACCAGGAGACGCCAAGAAAGAGCTAGATGTCATTTTCTCCCTGTTTGCTGTGATTGCATGTAGACATTCAGGTGTGTTGAGTGTTTTCCTGACCAGTTCCTATAGATGAGGAGTAGACGCTAGATGTAAATTTACTCTCTTTGGCTGCCCTGCAGCTGGCCGTCCATATGTGTGGGTTCCAAGTCCGCAGAGTCAGCCAACCACAGGGTGAAGGTGTGCGGGGAGCAGTTGTGTGAACAGTACATCCCTTTTCTTGTTGTCATTTCCTAAACCGTACAGAACAACAGCTGTTTCCATAGCGTCTGCAGTAGCGGGTATCATCCATAATCTAGAGATGATTTAAAGTACACAGATGGGTTTGGGGGTGGCTCAGTGGTAGAGCTCATGCTTAGAATGCATGAAGCCCTGGGCTTAATCCCCTGCACCAAAATAAACAAACAGGAGGCTGTGTATAAGTCACATGCAAATACATAAATAAATTGTATTTCTTTTCCATCATTTTCCACAAGGAACGTGAGCATCCGCAGAGTGTGGGGTCTGTGAGGTGGCAGGACGGCTCTGTGCTGTGTCTCCATACTTCTGTCAGCACATGTGTGTCTGCATACGCACAAACCAGATGAAAGTGTGAATATTTAAATGTAATAATAACGCTGGGCATGGTGGGTTAAACCTGTAATCCTAGCACTTGGGAGGCTGAGGCAGGAGGATCATCGTGAGTTTGAGACCAGCCTGGGCTACAAAGTGAGCTCAAGGCCAGCCTGAACTGCATAGCGAGACCCTGTCTCAAAAAGACAAAAATAAATAAATAAAAATGTAGTAATAAAAACTAAAAAAGGACTGTGGATGGAGCCCAGTGTGAAGACCCTGGGCTCATCCCCCAGTGCTCCCCTGTCTCCTGAAAAAGCTCTTTAACGTTTGAGGTGGTTGTGGCGGCCCACACCTGTTTCCCAGCACTCTGGAAAGCGGAGGGAGGAAGATCACAACTTGGAACCCCGCCTGGGCAACTTATCCATTTAGGCACTGTACCAAAAAATAAAAGAGGGTTGGGGATGTAACTCAGTGCACAGGCTCTGGGCTCAATCCCAGTACTGCTAGATAAATAAAATTTTAAAAATTTGAAAAAGAAAAGAGAAATGAATGCTTACCATACAAGATCAAAATATTTGAATTCTATTGAGCTTTAGAGACCTTTAGGCACTTTCCTAGGACAGGAAGACCGCCTTGGGTCTGTTGTAAGGAACATTATTTTTGATATTTTTGAGCTCCTGTTTACCGAGCAGGACACGGTGCTGTGCAGGGTCTTGCACTGCGACTACTGCCACTGCAGCTGTGCCCTGGAGAAGGATGGACGCAGCTCCTCGCTGCTGTGTGCACGTTGGACCTGCGGCCTCCTCCTTAGGGCTGGCCGCTGTTTTGTTTTGAAGGGTCTCTTCTCAGAAGGACTCATGCATGGACAAGGGACGTACATATGGGCCGACGGATTAAAATACGAGGTAAGGTATATAACGAATTACAATTTTGCACTGTAATTGTGAAATCAGCGGGCAGGCTCCCTCGGTTTGCCTCCCGTGGGAAAAGTACAGGAGTCTAAAGAAACGCTCGGGACTGAAGGATGGGTGCGTCAGCTGCTGCACAGCGCCCTCTGGGAATTGTAACTGGTTTCTTCCGCAGCTCTGGAGGGGCTGTGTGTTCTGCACACACAGTGTACATACGTGTGCCTCTGTGGAGTTCTGTGCATACAGAGCATGCATACATGCAGTTCTGTGGGGCTCAGTGTCCACTCAGAACATGTACATACAGTTTACCCTCCTGGTTTTTACAAACACCTTTATTATATATTACTCTCTTCTCTCTGTACTGGATACAGGCTACAGGGTACATGTTTTCCATTATGTGGATTTCGCTTAGTCCCTCTTCTTGGGTTGAAGGGAGTATGCCGAGGGTTTTTTATTTTAATTTTTAAATTTTTTTGTGATACTTAGGATTGAACCCAGGGCCTCTGCACTGTGCTTCATCCCCTTTTTTGTTTTGATTTTGAGACAGTTCCTCATAAAGTTGCTAAGTTGGCCAGGCTGGGCTTGAACTTGCAATCTTTCTGCCTCAGCCTGCCAGAGTGGTAGAATTATAGGCATGTGCCACCATTGACTGGCTTGAATGTATCTTTTTAAAGTGATAGTCAGGCCAGATTTGTTCTTCAAGAGACTGTGCCTTTTCAACCCCCACCCATGAAGTGTGAGTGCCTGAAACATTCCGAAAATCTCAGCTGTAGAGCTACTAGCACCGTGGTGTTTATAAATGGCACCAAAGACATTTGAAACACACGCACAGAGCATACTTTCTCAGATACCAGCCAGGCAAGCAAGGAAATAAAGGCCAAGCGGGGCCCAGAGGCAGGAGACGTGCTGCGGAGGAGCGGGGAGGGGCTGACATCGGGCCCGGGGCCCCAACAGTGGCTGGGGGGCTCCCTTCCCCCGGGTCATCCTAACCCCTTGCCTATGGCCGACACTCAGGGTTTCTGACCATCGAATGGCGATTTGCCGTGGAGACCTTCTGCAGTCTCTGGGATCTGGGTCCTGCCATGCGCACAGAGCTCCCCCAGCCCCGCAGCAGGGCCCTCAGGCTCTCACAGATGCATGCTCAGGCAGGTCAGACGTCATGGCTCTGTCCTCTTTCCTCTGCTGACTTGGCTGTGACGTCCAGTAAGTTCAGACTCCTAGGAGAGACGGCTGGTGGTGTTGCAGGTGGCAGATATCCTCGGCCACAGAAGCAACGCTCTGGAAGGTGCCCGTGGGTGGGTGGGGCACCTGACCAATCTGTAGAACACCTGGGTGAGCCACAGGCAGAAGGGTCCCCACTGGTGACCACCACCTGGCTCATCATCCAGCCTCCCGGGGGCGCACAAGGAGTTCGCTTCCTTCTGGTGAGTTCCGGGAATCTACAGCTCCCTAGGTCAGGGTGGCAGCCACCACAGCAGCTTGCTTCCTGAGCTTTGTCCGCACACAACCATCCTAACTTTTGTTCTGCTGGGCGTCCACCTGGTGAGGGATGGGGGGCGGGGTGGAGCTGTGGAAAAGGAAGGAGGAAGGAGAAACCAGCGGCATGGCCAACTGTTTCCACGGGAGACGAGCCAGGAACTGAGTTGGTGGGCGGGAGACGCCCTCTGCAGCCCACAGGATGAGGGATCCCTCCCTGCCTTCTTCCTGGCACGCTTGTCTTCCTGTCACACCTTCACGCAGCATGCTACATCTATGTTGTAGCACATGTCCACCTCATCCTTTGCTATGGCCGAGCAAAACCCCACTGTCAGTATTTAGTGTCATTTGTGTATTCACCCACCCGTCGATGGACGTTTGGGCCGTCTCCATCTTTGGCAGTTATGAATGTGTGTGCGAGGGTGGAGGTGCTTCCTCTCACTTCCTTGGGGTATCCACCCATTTTGTCCTAGGGAGACTTTGTGAAGAACGTCCCCATGAACCATGGCGCCTACACATGGCCGGACGGCAGCAGGTACGAAGGAGAAGTGGTAGACGGCCTGAGGAACGGATTTGGGGTCTTCAGGTGCAGCACGCAGCCTGTGTCCTACATTGGCCACTGGTGCCATGGCAAAAGACATGGGAAGGTGGGTGACGCGGCCACGAGGCGGAGTACTGCACAGATCAGGATTCAGCCGGTGTTAAGGGAAGGGTCGCGTACTGCAGTTAACTTTTTTAATGTTTAAGTTCAGTCCATTCACGATGTGTGACATCACCATGACATCACCACTGTCTCATCCCCAGACCTTTTCATCACCCCAAAATAAAGCTCCATCCCCCAGAGGGAGCTGTCCCATCCCTCCCTCTCCACATCCCCTTCCAGTCATTAGCTTGCTCGGTGTCTCTGTGGGTTTACCCATCAGACATTTGTTTTTCTTTTTGTGTGTGTGTGTGGTAGTGGGGCTTGAATGCAGGGCCCTATACATGCCAGGTGCACACTCTACTACTAAGCAACATCTGTAGCCTTTTTGAAAATCTTATTTTTAGAGAGGATCTAAGTTTCCTAGGCTGGCCTCAAACTTGTGATTTGCCTCTACCTCCTGCCTCAGCCTTCTAAGTAACTGAGATGACAAATATGTACCACTGTCCTCAGCTTGATGTTTTATATAAATGGAATCATATAATATGTGACTTTCTGTGTTTGGCTGTTTTCACTTAGTATAATATTTTCAAGTGTATCTGTGTTGTGTCATGCATTAGTACTTCTTCCTTTTTAATGGCTGAGTAATATTCCACTGTTAATATTTATTGTTTTGTCTATTCATTTGTCTGTGGATGGACGTTTGCACTATCTCTATTTTTTTGTTTTGTTTTGTTTGTTGTTTTGAGACAGGGTCTTGCTGTGTAGTCCTGGCTGGTCTTGAACTCACTATGGAGCCCAGACTGAGCTTAAATTCATGGACAGCCTCTTGCCTCATGCTCCCAAGTGCTGAGATTACAGGCATGGGCCATCATCTCTATGCTATTTTCTTACTATTATGAATAGTCTGTTATGAATATATGTGCAAGGATTCAAGTGCTTCCTTTCAGTTCTTTGGGGGAAATACCCAGAAGTGAAATTGCTGGGTCATATGACAACTTTATGTTTAATTTTTTGAGGAACCACCAAACTCTTCCACAGCCACACTGTTTCACATCCGCACTAACAATGGAGTAGAGATGCTTTTTTTTTTTTTTTTAAGAGATGCATTTTTAACTGAGATTTCTGTTCTTGGTATTATTGCTTTGCTTTTGTATAGGATAAAAAAAAATACTGTAGCAATTTTTAGAATCTTTAGAATCTGTAGTTTAGAGACACTTCCCTAAGAAAAAGTCTACCATTCTAATCTTCCCTGGCCAGCATGTGCCTGGGGAGGCAGCGTTCCTTGGTCTGCTAGTGCCTTTCTGAAATCCATGATTGCACAATATTCACACGTGCTTTCTTAACAACTGAAGACTCTTTTTTTTCTTTTTCTTTTCTTTCCTTCCCTCTTCCTCGTCTTTCCCTTCCCCCTCTTAATCCTCCTCCTCCTCATCTGTCTCTGTCTCTCTCTGTCTCCTTTCTTGGGTACTGGGGGTTGAACTCAAGTCCTTCCCACTGAGCTACATCCCCAGCCATTTTTAGTTTTTTATTTTGAGACAAGAACCTCGCTAAGTTGCCAAAGCTGAGCTGAATGTGTGATCCTCCTGCCTCAGCCTTGCAGAGTGCTGGAATTACAGGTCTGCATCACCACATCCAGATGACTCCTCTTCTTTCTCTTCTTCCTCCTCCTCTCCCTCCTCCTTTTCATAATTTCTGGCTGCCTACCAATATAAGGCAAATACCCTGGTTTATTTTATTTCTACACAAAATAAAGGGGTGGAATCTGATGCATTATTGAGAAACTCCACAGAAACTAGTGCCTCTTGCTCAAGTGGTGCTCTGGGAAAAAGAGAAGCAAAAGCAGAAACAGATTTGGGGCCAGCCCTGAGGAACCCAGGAGAATTCTGGCTCTAGGCGGCTTTGCGTCTGAATAGCACAGATAATTAAACTGCATCCTCCGTCTGCTGCTCCCAAGGAGACCTGCCCTGTGTGTGGATTTTCTTGGCAGTGGTTCCACTGCCAGGCCACCTGTACTGCACGCTGGTCTCTAGAAGTTGCCACAGGCCTTGATACACCAAGGAGGCTTTCCGGAGTCTGTGTGTAAAGGAAGAGCTGGGTTTTACAGTTCGAATGGGGGGTTAGGGCCAGATGTGGCACATGCCTGTAATCTCAGCACTCTGGGAGGCTGAGGCAGGAAGATCAAAAGTTTGAGCCCTGACTGAGCAACTTAGTGAAGCTCTATCTCTAAAGAAACAAGGGCTGGGGATGTAGCTCAGTGGAAGAGCCCTGGGTTCAATCCCAAGTATCACAAAGTGGGGTGAGTGTAGCTCAGCAGTAGAAGGTGCTCTTTGTACAAGGACGTAGGTTTGTTCACTTATTTTTGACTTGGTGTTTCGTTTTGTTTTCCTTTGCTTTGTTTTGTTTTCCTAGACAAGGATCTAGGTTTAATCCCTAGCATGACAAAAACAAATACCTAGAGTCTGGTCAGGCCGACCTTCCTTAATGGCTACAGGCCAGGAGAGTTAAGAGAGGGCGAGCTGAGATTTTCCCAAGGCCTCTTGAGATTTTCTTCCCTCCTGCTCTGTGCAGGCTCTGTCCCTCTGTCATGGCATCAGTGGTGTGTTAAGCTCACGGCAGGTCGGCAGAGACCCTGATGTGCTGGGGCTGGGGATTTCCGGACAGAAGCACCCGCATGTCTGCAGGAGCGAGGTGGCCAGGTGACGAGGAAGAATCACTGCCACTCAGCTCAGACCTGCACAGACTGCTAAGCGCAAGGCCCACTGCTCACAGGAGCCACCTACAGGAGGTGCCTGACGTCACAGACACTCAGAGGTGGTGCTGAGTAAGACGGCAAAGTGGAGTCAACAAAAATAGCTTTGGTGCCTAAAGTGACCTGCAGTGCAGCGAAGCCCAGCTGCTCACTGTGGGTGTCAATGACACGATTTCTCTCGGTGTTTATTTGACTGCTAGTTACTGAACACAGTGACAAGAGTCATTCTGTGCCTGAGGGGGCACTTTGCTGTGAAGGGGTACTCGGTCTGTGACATGGTCTCCCTGTCCTTTGCTGGGGACACCTTGCCATTTTTTTTTAAAATGGCAAAACAGAAACTTGAAGGGTCACGCGTCTTGTGTAAGTACGACATTGACTTCTGCCGAGTTTATGCTTCTTAACCTTCTGTATTTTTATCTTTACATTTAAAACTTCATGTGTGTTATGAGGCTTGATAGTTTAAAAAATGGTACTATCTGTTTCAGGGCGCCATTTATTACAATCAGGAGGGCACTTCCTGGTACAAAGGCGACTGGGTCTACAACATCCGAAAGGGCTGGGGCGCAAGATGGTAAGTGGGGCAGAGCCACGTGTGGGGTGGGCACGCAGGCGTCCCTGGGTCCAAACGGTTGTCACATAGGCTAAACGTGAGGAGAAGAAACCGCAGAGAACTCATTTTCTGTCTAGCTGGGCGGGATATTTAAATTAACCCCAGTGTCATCTCTGGAGTGATGGGAGATTTATAAAAACACTACATGAAATGTCATACTGTTTCACATGATGAGTCAAAACTGCCTTTCCTGTTCTCTGCATTAATCGTAGCCCTCCATTACGCTTTTGGAAGAATGCTGGCACCTTTGCTTGATTGTAGATTGAACCGATCATTTTAATCCTTAAACTGTTTGATAGCAAAATGTTAAATAATTATAATACCATGGAGACTTTGATTCTAGCCAGGTGTGGTGGCACATGCCTGTAATACGAGCACCCTGGGAGGCTGAGGCAGGAGGATTCCAAGTTTGAGGCCAACTAGGCAACTTAGCAACTTAGAGAAACTGTGTCTAATAAAAACAAAAATAAAGGGCTGGGGATACAACTCAGTGTGAAGGCCCTGGCTTCAATTCCCTGTACTGGAAAAAAAAAAATCTAAAAAATTTAAAACACTTGTTGTTACCCATTTTGTTACCTTATCAAATAATCAGCAGGTTTAATAAGTGATTTATTCTTCTCCCTAAGGCGATTGTTTTTACTCACCACATGCCTACCCAGTGAGTTTCAGTGTTGAGGAGTGTCTGCACCCAGGATTGGGTCTCGCTAAGTTGCCTGGGCTTGTGATCCTCCTGCCTCAGCCTCCTGAGTAGCTGGGACTACAGGAGAGCACCACTATACTGGACTAAGAATCTCAGAGACAAACATCGTATGTGAGGCAGCTGATCACTCCTCCTTGGTTTCTTTCGTCCCAGTTACAAATCTGGAAACGTATATGAAGGCCAGTGGGAAGACAACATGCGCCACGGGGAGGGCAAGATGAAGTGGCTGACGGCCAAGGAGGAGTACGACGGCCACTGGGATCGGGGTGTCCAGGTGAGCAGCGCACTCGCACCGCAGGTCACACGCCGACTCTGAGCCTGTGCACCTGGAATCCTATCGTGTGCCATCTGGGGTTCAGGCTATGCTAAACTTAGAAACTCAAGTTATGGCTGCGGGGTCTCAGCTGCACTTTCTATGCTGCTGTCTGGGTGGTCCTCTTACGGACTCACTGACAAGCTCGGTTCTGCCCCTGGTAAGTTAGTAAGTTCAGGTGGCGCCTGTGAGGGTAGAGATTCCTGTTCATATTTAGAAACTATGGATTTCCTACAGAGGACGGAACAACTTCAGGTGGCTAATTTAATATTGTTTATAAATCTTGAATTTTCTTCTTTTCTGTTGTGGTACTGGAGCTTGAACCCAGGGAGCCCTGAACTACACTCCAGCAATTTTTATGCATTTTGAGACAGAGTCTTACTAAGTTGGCCAGGCTGGCCATAAATTTACAATCTTCCAAGTGGCTAGGATTACATGGCCTTTTTTTTTTTTTTTTTTTTT